GTGCTGTGGTAATGCCGTGTGCATCGATAATGGTGTGTGCATTGATAATGGCGTGTGCTGTGGTAATGCCGTGTGCATCGATAATGGTGTGTGCATTGATAATGGCGTGTGCTGTGGTAATGCCGTGTGCATCGATAATGGCGTGTACATTGATAATGGCGTGTGCATCGATAATGCCGTGTGCTGTTGTAATGCCGTGTGCTGTGGTAATGCCGTGTGCATCGATAATGCCGTGTGCTGTTGTAATGCCGTGTGCATCGATAATGCCGTGTGCTGTGGTAATGCCGTGTGCATCGATAATGGCGTGTGCTGTGGTATAATGCTGTGTGCATTGATAATGCCATGTGCCATGGTAATGCCGCATGCATCGGCAATGCCGTGTGCCGTGCCGGTTCATTGATGGGCAGGTGGGGTGAAGGCTGGCTAACCGCTTCAGTGCTACAGTATAGAGAGTTAATGAATACGCAGTCTCTTGGACAGCGACCCATTTGGCACAGCCGACGGGACACGATTCCCTGGCACAGAGATCCTTTGCTGAGTTCCCAGGGATACACCATGGGGGCTGGCGGGACTGGGGGGGGACTAGGGCACAAGCGCATATTAGTAGTAAGGTAATTGAATAAAATAGAGTAAATAAACTGAATTAATTAAATCAGTTATGAAGGGTCCAGCAGTGTCTGTCTTTCTGACTCCCCCTCCTTTGCAACCAGTCTTCACCGGCATCTTTCCACTCCGCCCTGCACCAAAAACGTCTCTCACAATCGATTAATGCCAGGTTCATTGCATTTAAATGCCTTTATCCACCAAAGGTAGCCTATGTATTACTATAACAAAGTGCATCGTAGCATGGAATAATACTATTGTAATAGGCAGTATGTCTCTATGCACTTCTGTGTCTCCTCCACTTCCATTACAATCTTGTCTATAATCTATAAAACAGTCTGAGCTCTTGCTGGTTGGTCCTGAACCACCCAGTTCTAAGACACCAATGGGCTGGTGGCTCCCAGCCAGGCCGTGTCCCCATATCGGTCCCCTCGGCAGGGACGGCGCAGTGGTCATGGCACCCTGACGAATGAGCACCAGCGGAGCACTACTGAGAGAAGCACAATGGCTTTATTCAGGAGCGACTGCGATTAGGAAGTGTTGTGGTCTATATGTGTAACAAAGAGGAAGAATGACAGCTGGTCGGCTCTCTTCCTCCCTCGCTCGCTCTCTCACTCCATCTTCCTCGTCACTTGTTCTCTTTTTTCAGGAGCTCCCGGTAATCAGATCTCACACACTTCAATCTTTAAGACATTGTAGGGACCATGTAAATTACCTCATTTGCAGATACTATTTGATGTAGAGCAGCACAGAAACAATTACCGTGATTATGACCGAACTCCCAATGGTAACTGTAGCTTCCGGTGAATTCCACTTTTGCACTTGCTGTGTTATGCTTTATATGAAAATGACTCAATATAGTTATATGATTGCAGGCAGCTTTAATTATAAAGGGTCTCACAAGATGGGATTTCGGGAATGTCTGGCTCAGCATCATACAGCATTGTTCTGTTTTAAAAAACAGAAGAGCTGTTTTTTCAGTTTTTTTCCAACATCAGGAGAACAGTTCCTGTATTGTCGGTAGACGGTGCCAGAACGCTGTGGTTCCTCCACCTTCCTAACAGTAAAGTGGTTGCCACTGTCCCCGTTGGCGGCTTTCGCTCTTTCTCCCTGATGTTCCTCACCACGCTGCCTGTGCTTCCTTGCAGACACTCCTCGGCAGAGGTCAGGAGGAACTTCAGCGGCACCCATGGCCCTTTCTACAGCCCCCTGCAGCACCAGCGGCACAGCTCCAATACCTCCGGATCCTTCTTCCAGATAGTGAGTAACGTCGCCCTTGGTCCCCTCCCGGGTCCTGAGGGAAGGCTGCTGTCCATTTAGGTTCAGTCTGCTCCAGTAGAACATGGGTTCCCAGACTTTACTCCATGACTTTCAGCCGATCATGGGTATATTTTACCTGGGGGGTGGGTCCCCCTCTATAGATTTATTGCAACCAACCAGTTGCTATTACAGTCACAATAGTATTTTTTCATGTTTTACATTTTTATTAACATACTCCAGAAATCATCCTGCCACCCCCCAGACAGTCATAATATATTTTTCTTTATGTTTTTTTTTTAATTTTATTAACATACTCCACTAGACCCCCCTCGGTGTTTGGAAACCCCTATACTACTGTTTACAGTTGGCCTGTGGCAATATGTACTTCAAAATAGTTGCCAGTATTTTCCCAATCTTCCTATGTAAAAGAAAGAAAAAGAAAAGGAAGTAAGGTTAATGTATATAGGATTTGATCTAGACTTATGCAGGGATTATTTCTGTTGTGTTTGAGTAGTGAAGACCAAAGATTGTCAGCCTGTCCCTGCATGGACTTGTGTCCCTGGCTAAATGATTATGAAAAAGCCAACCTAGATAGGCTACGCTTTTAAATACCATGTCCATGGTAAAAATTGCATTTTCATCAAAATGTTTGTCAGAATTTGCCATGGCGTCGGCTCAAACAAGACTGTTTGTTGTGCTTCTTCTGTTCGAAAAGCCCAGCCTGAATATAGGATTTAATGAAGGTTTACAGGAGACCTTTTCTAATAAGGCCTATTTGTAGAGTATGTGGCATTTTCTAGGATTTTCAGTTGCACTTTAAAAAAGGCATTACTAGCAGCGGGATACCTTTTGAGGTTTTGTTTTGTTTGCAGTATTTTTGTTATTTTCTCAGTAGTTCGACAGGTTGCAGCTTGTTAAGTGTAGGGCTGCATTAGCCTGTGGGCTTACTGTATGAAAACGGTGAGCAGTATTGTCAGGTAGATGGATGCGTTTCCTCCACTTATACATGCTTTAGGGCAACCGCTCATTCATCCCAGGACTACCAGACTCTCCCTGGTATTTCGGGGGGGGGGGGGGGGGTGCAGGGTCTGCTTGTGGATCTGCTGCTGATTAATCTCCAACTTGGCACTGATCCTCTCTCAAAATAGGCCATCCTGTCCCAAGAGTCTGTTACCCTGTAGCTTTTGCCACTGAATTTTTACAGAGAGGGGCTCAAGCCTGCTCCACATCGGTGCTTAATGCCATAATCTCTATGATGAAATTTATCCCAATGGCCTAATTTGTATATATTTTTTCACTGACAGAAGCCCTTCTATGCCAGTGTGTTATTCCTCAGAGCACGGTTTGAAGGTTTTCCTTTTATTATTATTATTATTATTATTATTATTATAGTTATCTGATGTGAAATTAATTTTGTAGATCGAGGCTAAAGTAGCAGATTAGTAGATAGCTGGAAGGGCATCTGCTGAAAATGCAGGACAGCATAAGTAGGAAGTACACAATAGCTTCAGGGTGGGTTATTCGTCGCATGGACCTTGCGGTTTCATTATAGAACATATAAGACAACATGAAATGGTAAAAAACCTGTTAAACTGTAACACATGGGTATAATATAATAGCCTTTTGAATGCATTTTTGTCTGAAATGCTAACATGTTTGGTCTAAGGGTGCTGCATTGTGAAAAGTGGTGAGGAAATCATTTTGATGTCACTTCCTAGCAGCGTGTGTCTTGCCGCATGCAAAGGAAGGTTTTTTTTTTCTTCTTTTTTTTCAAGACAGAAACCACTTTGCAGATATTAACTGTATGGTTTTGTTTCCGGGAGACGCCATTTTGTTCACTTCCTCCTCGCTTGTTTAGAACTCTGCAGGGTGAGTCTGCCTTACCGGTATAACATTATCTGTACTTCGTTTCATTACTTTTTTAAATGCAACTGTAGCATCTCTTTTGAACTTTAAGTGTCTGGAAATGCAAATGTTGTACTTCAGTATGTTAGCTCTGTGCTGCTGGTTCACAGAGGATGGTCCTTGGCTGAGCTG